TGGGACTATGACAGTGGGACTATGACAGTGGGACTATGACAGTGGGACTATGACAGTGGGACTATGACAGTGGGACTATGACAGTGGGACTATGACAGTGGGACTATGACAGTGGGACTATGACAGTGGGACTATGACAGTGGGACTATGACAGTGGGACTATGACAGTGGGACTATGACAGTGGGACTATGACAGTGGGACTATGACAGTGGGACTATGACAGTGGGACTATGACAGTGGGACTATGACAGTGGGACTATGACAGTGGGACTATGACTGTAGGACTATGACAGTGGGACTATGACTGTGGGACTATGACTGTGGGACTATGACTGTAGGACTATGACTGTAGGACTATGACAGTGGGACTATGACTGTGGGACTATGACTGTGGGACTATGACTGTAGGACTATGACTGTAGGACTATGACTGTGGGACTATGACTGTGGGATTATGACTGTGAGCATTGTAAACTACCTGCACCATTTTGCCATTGTTTGATGCACGTTTTGAAATTCTAAGGAATTTTAAACCACCGTTTTTAAATTTTGAATAATGAGAAGTAATAGTGCTTAGAAGAAAGTTATTCTGATGCACAGTGCTCCAAACTTACCATTGTCAGAACTAGGAGTGGGGCAAGGAATGGAAGGACAACCTGGATTTGGAGGGCAAGGTTTACATGATCCAGTTGGACAACCTGGAGTTGGAGGGCAAGGTTTACATGATCCAGTTGGACAACCTGGAGTTGGAGCAGAGGTTTCTAAAGTATACCAAGAACAAAAGATGATTTGAGTTTTCACTATATACAGATTCATATACATTAAGTACAGTATAAGAAAATCAAACTCCAACTTGATGTGTTCACTTTCTGAACATTTTATGTCTACAGTGTGAGGTTAGACTTTCAATGGAATGAGAATGAAAAATAAAAGGTATTGGTTGGACTCATTGTGAAATTTCTAGTAAAATTGTATAATCAGGAAGCCCAATATGGCAAAATGTGTACAAAGGGAGTGCGGTATAGGTACTAGTTGATAATGTTCATGGGAGGACAAGTGAAAAACTAACACAGAAGGAAATTGAAGAATAACGGGCTTGCCATTTACAAACTATAACCTGAACTACATCATCCATAAGAGAATAATCTGGATAATATGATATGCAAATTATTTATTCTTTTTATATTAAACAAATTCATTTTTATTTACAATTAACGAGTGATACGTCTCTACGGGTAACATTCTAGATTTTTCTTTATAAATATATTATTATATAATATGCATTTACACCATATGTTTTACATATGTAAGTTTTGTTGTTGTTTTTTTTACCGTTCCTTCCCCATCCCCATTCCCATAATTAAAAAAAAAAGATATTAACAGAAATGTTTCTGGTTACTACAACTGAATTTCCATTGTACAACAACGAGTAACAAAGATTGCAGACCAAAATGATTTACAGATGACAATAGTTTAAAAGACAAAAGTGTCTTAAATCTATTTTGCATACTTACCTTTTAACATGATGCGAATGGATGAACTTAGATTTTGTGTTTTTGGATAATCCAGGATGAGCTTCCATACGCTTTTATCCAAGTACTTTTCAGTGATTCTGTTAATAACAAGATTGAACTTCCCATCCTTCACAGAAGAATTTGGTTTGATCTTGTTTTTGCACAGATTTAATATTTTTTTGCTCATGAGGACTACACAGCTTGTACCTGGGAAGTTTCCCTTTTTTGAGCTTAATACATGAACATTGTCCAGTAAGAGTACTATGCGTGAAAGGTTTTGGGTATTTATTTGCCAGGAATATCTAAGATCCCCTCCAACAAATGCAGGAACATTTTCTATTTCCCTTGATGCTTTAATTGTTGAAGCTGAAAAGTATAATTGAATACAATTATATATGACCTCATATATTCACAGTGATATTTATTGAAGTTAGGGATTATATCAAGGTACTAGATCTGACTCACTTCAAAACGAAGTAATTACAGCCCCTGTTACTACATAGAATTTTAACAAGAATTTCAAAAGAGAACAATAAAAAAAGAGAAACACCAGACCTTTAAAGCTTGGGGGGATACGTCTTAACCATCCGGACCACCCCTGCCTATGGGCCTGACACTTAAAGTGTCCAATACTTTGCAAAAAATGTTAATCTCCTATCTCACTGGTTGACATTTCGCGAATATGACTCAATGTTTCCCTAGTGAATAGGTACTCCCAGTGGATAGAGCATGCCGCTTCAAAACAATATGTTGTTCAATAATTAAAACAATTGCCCGTAAAGAGACTTCGACTGGTGACTATTTTAGTCACAAACTCAATACCGTTAATAGTGTAAGTAATTCTGTTGTTTTTCTGTTCGTATTTCGTATAGTTCGAACCGGTAGTAACCGCAATTGTAATCACTTGAGCCGCATGTAATGAGTACGAATACTGGGTTATATAATTTGTGATATAACTTAAAATACAACTGTAATACCTCGCTTTCAGTGCGTTATTCACGATCGCGTCTGAGTAAAACTGAAAACTGGGCGGTTATTATGAGTTGGCCGCTTTGTAATCAATCTTTTTGACAGTCGTAGTATACTTACCATTGGCATATAAAAAGGGGAAACAGCACAATAGTGGGATTATCCAACTAAATTCATACCCAAACTTTTCGCACGACATGACATTGCCGCCAATGGAGCATGAATGAGTTGACGGTTCCAGACTCCCTCCTCTGATTATAAACCCTCAATAGATTTCTGCGGCTGCACAAACCAACTATTTTTGACTTTTTTATGACACAGGACTCATTAGACATCTTTTTAGATATTCTTCTAAATTGTGTCGACAATGGGAATTGTTGTTCGGATTCGCACGAAATTTTGACGTGAACTGCTTCCGCTGATCTTATGTGATACCATGATGCAACTCCTAGCAACTCGCAACAACAAAAATCTGACTCAAAACACAGGGAGCCCATAGGAAGAGGGGGAGGGACATCACAGACTTATTCTGATGACGTCACATCAACTTTTGCAAATGCATATACACTTTATGTTTTTATGAACAAAACCGATGCAAGCGGCCTCCCGGCTCCCCCGCCCCTGTCGGGTAGCAGGGAAGTTCTAGATTATTCTCTCCAGATCGCAACGTAAAGCCGAGTCTTCTGGTTCTTCGAGAAAACTCTTATGTTTTTCTTTAAGGAAATTTGAAGTAACTTAAATTGAACAAATAGAACTTCTCCGGAGGATTTATTGATCTCAAAGTATAGTGTTCTTACTGTTTTGTATTTTTCATTTTGAACTTTATTAAAAACACCTTTGAATAAAAAACACGTTTTTTTGTATTCTAAATATTCAGTACAAAAAAATGTACAAGTTACAAGTTGTACATGTGTGGCTTTTTCTTGTCAATTTAAGTCTTATTCTTCAGTACAATATCACAAATATTATAGGTAAAATATAAGTTTTGATTAGTAAAACTTTAGAGAAACATTGTAGTATAAAAACGAGCGACAATAAATTGCAACATGATATAGAAATGAAAGAAAGTTATAGTGCTTAGAAGGAGGCAATTCCGGGAGAAGTCCCTTRGGAATAAATTCGGAAAAATTAATTTCCGACCTCGCTGGGATTCAGCTGGGATTTAAGCACTATAACTTTCTTTCATTTCTATATCRTGTTTATCATAGTGCCATGCGGTCTTCATATTCATATCTTTACATTATTCTATTACCGCAACCTTAACATCTATTTCACCCCGACCTGCTCCCAGTCTGACCTTGTAGCTCAGCTGGTAGAGCATCGGTGTACAAATCCGAAGGTCGTGGGTTCGAATCCCAGCGAGGTCGGAAATTAATTTTTCCGAATTTATTCCTAAGGGACTTCTCCCGGTATTGCCTCCTTTTAAGCACTATAACTTTCTTTCATTTCTATATCATGTTTATCATAGTGCCATGCGGTCTTCATATTCATATCTTTAATAAATTGCAACGTTTCGTTGTCATCCCGACAACATTTTCAAGCAGATTTAATTATGGAACTTATAAAGTAAATGAAAACAAAAGATATTATGTGGCCTACAGATCTAAACAAACACTTTGGCTCTAATAGAGTCTGATTGGACATTCAATGTAGGACCTAATTTACGAATAAATAACATCTGACAAATTAGACAATCCTGTTTGTTTAGCCATTTTTTCAATACAGTAAAACTGCGTCACCTTCACCACCGTATCACCGAACACTCACAATTTGAAAAGTCATCATCAATTTGTAAACACCTAAATGCAAGAACTGATAACTCTGATCCTGCACTATTATCAACCCCAAAACAGTGGAGTCTTAAGTTAATAGATTCCATTTTTGTCGTGAGCTACTGTATTCTACTAATACAGAGACGACGTCAAAATGTTATAAAACAAAAAAATACGCCACAATTTCTTCGTATGAAATACCGATACATATCTCACTTTCGAAAACTTATTATCATATCTCACTTTCGAAAACTGATGTGTCATTTTCACAAGCGAAAAGAACTGAATATATACCGTGGCACAGCAGACAGACAGAAGATTTTATTTTTTGCTTTGCACCACCTAGATACATCATTGCATTGTCCACTAATAATATTGCAAAGATTCTGATAATTCTGATGATTATTTATCAGACGTTTTTGGTGGATTCATCAGTAGCAGGAACTAATCGTTATTTGGAGCTTATATTAAAGTGGTTTGTATTGCATGCAAATGTAAGGGAGACAACTTCATCTGAACAGAAAGACGATTAAAAAAGAGGCAAGCAGACAAAAGAAGTTGAAGCATGCTTTCGACCGTTTCGCCAATATTTGACCATATTTTCCAGTAGTGTTAATCAAATGATGATTCGTTCAAAAGTGTAATTTTGTGTCGTGAAAGCTAGTCTAAAGGCGGGAAATAATGTGCGGCCCTTCCCCTGTGGATTGGGTGGCCGACGACTGCAGCATTATCATATAGCCATCCATGAAATACCTATAGTGACAAACCCCCCTCCCCCCCAACCCCATCTATAGGGTATATTGCGCACTTTCGAAAGCTTGTTATTTCATTTCACAAGTGAAAATATCACATTTGTGATTATTATTTTAAATCAAAATATTCTGTTTGGATAATTATATGGATATACAAACATAATATTTCACGTTCTCTTGAAGATTTTTTCATTGGCACACTTTGACTAGTACAAGAGCGAAGGAAAACACTCATCTTTCACCAGGGCCCGGGTGTGCTGGGGGTACTGTCGTTGGGGGACTCGCCGAATCTCGTTAAAAATCGTGAGCAAACCTTGTACCTCTTACGTTGTCTTGGAGTTTATTGAGCTGACATGACTTCAGCTGTAAACCATTAACGTGCATTTTTCCTCTTTCGATAATTAGAAGCTGTTGGTCACAAAAATCGGATTACGTTTTCACCATTTTCAACAAAATTTAATGATGAAACGAGGCCTCATTAACAAAATTATTCACGAACATCCCAACCCTTCGATATCCTGTAGATATATATATATCCTGTGGATATTCTGATAGCAGTTCCCCCGGGTACCTTGAAAGCTACGTTTGCGATTTGCCTGTTCTTTCGTGATCTCTAACAACTCGTCTCCACAATTTCACCGACACCACATTCTTAGAAACCGCATGTAAAAAATCCCCATCCTCAGTACGCCCAGTTTTAGTTTCAACAACCCGTTTGTGTTGAGCCCGTTCATCGCAGATATCATACTGGCTAGTAATTAGTAAGTTTTGCATGGTATTTGTTTTGACAAGCAATAAATATCTACAAACAACCAAGCATATTGTAAGGAAAACACTGGTCAGGTAACCAGACTCAAGAAAGTGGAAAGAGCTCGACGCACAATGAAGCTTGAAAGGCAGGCATTCGTTCATGCGGCTGCTGTTTTAAGCCTTCTCACGGTGTCAGGTAAAGCGACAACAAACAGTTATTCTGTTCAATATATTGTACATAAATATAGTTAAAACAAAATTGGGATGCCAAAAGATATATGTGAATATTATGTGAGAATACTATTTATCATATTATAAAACTTATTAATAATGCATAAGCTATTGCTCCAATAAGGGCTGACCATTTAATCAGGTGATTGACCTTGTAAATCTGATACAACCACTAGTGGTTGTATCAGATTTACAACACGGTCGTCACCATTGAGACAACCCAACACTAGCAAAGGTCTCAGTTTTAGTGTCGCATCATAGACCTTCACTAGGTTTTGAAGCAATCAAAGACGGATAACAGAACTCGCTTATGCAACAGATGGCTTGCTTTCCATGTGGGATRGATAATTATTCAAAATGTTCTGTGTTGCAGTAAATTGCGCATGCGTAATAGGGACTAAACTCAGCAGTTACCTTATTTGTCATTTTTCGTCATTTATCTCACTGTAATTCATGTTAATTTGTGTTGGAGTTTTATAAGTCGTTTACAACATTCGCGTCCGTGTTGTATGGGAATTACAATCTCTCGCCTGCGGCTCGAGATTGTAATTCCCATACAACACGGCCGGTCATGTTGTAAACTATACTAATTATTTATGAAATACCTATATTTCTCCATTTCGTAAAGTTGATTAAATTACACATTCGAGGTTTCTTTATATAATAGAAGTAAGAATGAGAGATCTTTTCAGCACTCGAAGATAAAATCCGTATCATCTCCGCGCACCCATGTAATATCCTCTATCTATTATGCATGATAAGAATACTATCTAGCAATCGATTTTTAAGGCGTGAATGAAATCTACAGTTGTAGAAAGAAAAAGTGATGACGGAGCTCTCTTTTTTAACTCTTTGAGTATTCAAGGAAAATTGATCATGCATCATTTGTTTATTTAGGGACTGCGCTATATTTATCAGGAGGAGGGGAGCCGAGAAATGACCCAAAAAATCATTATAGTCTATAGTTTAAAAAAAATTACTACCCCCCTCGCAAACGCAATACTGACATTGCGCTCTGCTGATCAATGAAAACCATTTTATAATAAGATGTGTTTTCTAGGAAACAGGCAATTCATCTCGTATCATGGCAACAGCATTTCAACACAAGAAGGCAGAAATTTGGTTCTCAATTGGAAATATAAATTAAATTCAAACCGAGAATCAGAGGAAATGTCGTTTGGTATATGGAATCCCCTTGGTATAATTAGCAGGAAACTGTTGAACGTGAAGGCGACTGATAAGGTAAGTTTATTTGACTATTATTTGTTCAAAGAAAGTGTGTCAAAAGATGCATGTGCAATCTTGAAAACAATCTCATTGCCGTATATGGCTGTGATATGACAACGAACTTCATTGTTTGATCCAAAAGGCATCAGACCCTAAACAGCTGGTTTGTGTTTTTTTTTTTCGAGGTAGGGGTGGTGAATGGCACCCTTTATTTTTATGTGATAGAAAAACGGAGAATACACTTTTATCATTAGTAGCGCGCTCTTGATAAAATGCATCCTGATTCCGTGTGTGTTACTACTTCGAGCTACGCGGTCCATAGGGAGACCTGAACTAATGCTTCGCCATGGTTTTTAAATAGACAACAAGAATTACGCTTTGCTTTTTTCATGCGTGAATGTCTTATTGTATCGTGTCTGTAGGATGAGGTGACCGAGCTGGAATTTTCGGACACGTTTTGAATGATCTATTGTGAGGTCTATTATAACCGATTTCATTCGATTAGGTATATTGACCAATTATTTCTGTCATATAAGATGTGAGGACTACAAACGTGTGGAATTCGTCAGTCTCGGGTAAATTTGCAAGCCATCTCGTTCAGCAAATCAAAACTATGGCCAGGCTGATCAGTTTGATAGCGGCTTCCGAGGATTCTCCAGTTTCGTATTCTAGAATCCTGTGCAAAAATACTTGACGATTTTAGTAAAATCGCTAAATATTGCGAAGTTTGCGCAGAATTCGTATCTTTTCTTGCATCCCCCTTCCCCCATCTCTCGTGTTTCCGAGATCAAACAATAAATGGTCCGCCTTTTAGCGGGAGGGGTATGAGGGGGGTATGAGGTGAAATGAACGTTAGTTGAACTTAACTGAATGGTAAATTATTGTCAACATTTTTGTCTAAGATTGTGGCTATGGCTCAAATAGCGATGTATGTTTTCCCATTTTAAGGTTTCTTCTCAAGGTCGCTTCACATATAAAGGACTCTTATCACGTAATTCGGGATACATAAACATCACACTACATAACGTGACCCGTCATGATGAGAACTTATATGGAATACAAATATTCCTTAAAATGTCAGCTGAAGGTTTTTCCTTTTTGCCACTCAAAGACTCCTTCACCTTATCAGTGTATGGTGAGTAAATGTTTTTATAAAACTTATTAATAATGCATGAGCTATTACTCCAATAAGGGTTGTCCATTTCATCAGGTGATTGAMMTTGTAAATCASATACAACACTGTGATACAACACTAGTGTTGTATAAGATTTACAACACGGTCGTCACCTTGAGACAACCCAACACTAGCAAAGGTCTCAGTTTTAGTGTCGCATCATAGACCTTCACTAGGTTTTGAAGCAATCAAAGACGGATAACAGAACTGGCTTATGCAACAGATGGCTTGCTTTCCATGTGGGATGGATAATTATTCAAAATGTTCTGTGTTGCAGTAAATTGCGCATGCTTAATAGAGACTAAACTCAGCAGTTACCTTATTTGTCATTTTTCGTTATTTATCTCACTGTAATTCATGTTAATTTGTGTTGGAGTTTTATAAGTCGTTTACAACATTCGCGTCCGTGTTGTATGGGAATTACAATCTCTCGCCTGCGGCTCGAGATTGTAATTCCCATACAACACGGCCGCTCATGTTGTAAACTATACATAATTAGGGAATTAATGTGTTAAATGAACCAGTGATGATTATTCATTATAGGACCTTGGGATAAACATAGCAGTGTTGAAAAAGGGACATGGCTTCAACCCTTAAAAGATACCAACTGACTGAGTACTATATATAATTTCTTAAATGTTAAATGGAACATCCTAAATGATACCAAATCAAATCATGTATCATTTTGAGTCCTAAGAAAATCCAAAGAAACAACCACTATATACGTGATATCTCCGGGCGGTTATCGACCCAAGTTATTTTTAAAGTGAATGCATGAATCAGCTATGCATCAGGAAATTGAAGAGCACTAAATATCGGAAAACTGTCACAATAAATAAAACAGGAGCAATATTGAATCCTGAATAATTACCATGCCATTTTCACATTTTTATTTTAATTCACACATAATTCTACATTAAATTTAAAATTAAATTTTCTCAGCATTACCACGAATTACACACATAACCAAGAACATGACAGTACAAGAGGGTTCTATTGTGACTTTAACATGTAAAGCACGTGGACACCCTAAACCAACTACCACGTGGTACCGTCACAGAAACTCTATGAAACAGTCAGAAAACCTTTCACTAAATGTAGGATTCGACAGCCAGGGAATGTATGTTTGTAAAGCCGTGAATCGCTATGGATCCGACCAACGAGCAGTTATCATAACGGTTAAAACTGGTAAGTCAATTATGTATATATCCCATCATGAACGGCGGTGCAAATGATAAAATGAAGGGTTGCTTTCTAATAACCTAACAGTCAACATGGAACCATTGAGATACCCAACCAGGGGAGGGGGGAGGGTACTCGATCCTAACTTGGGTTGGGGTGTGCCGAACGACCTTCAAAACCCTTACCCTATCCCAGACCAATTTTTGTGATTTTACATACCCTACCCCATGCAGACTAAAGGTACATTATTTTAGCGCTGAAAGCGTGGCCTAGCAGATACGATCACGGGCAAAACTCCACCCTACCCTAGACAATGAGACTATACCAGTATCCCAGACAAAAAGACTACCCTATCCCAGACAAATGGGCAAAAAACCCTATAGAGCGGCACACACCCGTGCAAATATAGGGAAGTACTCCCCCTAGGGTGAGATACTGGGTAGCATGAAAAAAGGCAAAACAAATATTGATATCTGTCCAACTTCTGGAGGTGATAAGGGGGCACTACAAAAACCTTTGAATATAGGCTTATTATAATTTCCATTGTTATTTCTTATTCAAATTTCTATACCGAATTTTCCCAGTTTCGTTTGGTTCTGACATTCTTAGCGACACAACGTCGAAAAGCATAGCTCGTCCAGTATCAAAGAGTGTAACTCGTCCAGTGCCAAAGAGTGTAACTCGTCCAGTTTCAAAGAGTGTAACTCACGGGACATCAAAGAGTTTGACTCGTATATTGTCAAAGAGTGTAACTCGTGCGGCTTCAAAGAGTTCAACTCATTCAGTGTCAAAGAATGTCACTCTTTCAGTGTCAAAGAATATAACAGCAAAGAGTCCTCAGCTATTGATATACATTATCATCTTGGGTGTGGTGACTGTTGCTGCAGCTTTGGTGATTGCTATGGTTACGGTCAAACTTTGCGCAAGACAAAAACGAAAAAGTAAGTAAAGAAGTCTTCTTACTAGTTTGATTTCTAAAGTTTTGTAAGCATCAACATACATGTACATGTGAATCTTTTAAGCACCGTATATATATTTTCGAAAGCGTTTTCAAAACTATTCACTGATACGCAATCATATAGTTTCCGGTGGTTCAAGTAATCAGATCGACCCAAATAAGATAGGATTCCGGATTCCAAAGCTGTTTTTTACTGGATTCTGGATTCTCTTACATGGGGTGATAAAGAAGAAAACATAAACGCTTATCTGGCGCTTCGAGCTTATCTGGATACGCCGAATGCCCCGAGTAAGAACTAGGGAAGCAAACGGCGAAGGAATGCAAGAAGGTGCTAATTGCGCATTGTATAATCCATCCATCCCATTGGTTAAAACATGAAAATCTGCTATAATTTCCCAAGTTATCGAATTTTCTAATATTATATTTAATGTCGTTTTTCGCTTTCATGAAAGCTTTCTTTAGCTTCAATATTAAGACAATTCTATGTGGGGAACATTGCAAATTAGAAGCATCTTTTAGCTATTGTTTTGAGTTCTTATGATTGGATAAGAGCTTTTAATACAAAAGAAACTTTGTTTCAAAATAGAGTTTATCCACATTTTATTTCAAAAATGTGTTACCCACAAATGGATACATAATCAGTGTGAAAACCAMGACATTYGTACATGGGGAACTTGCTATGCCGCACAACAATAGAGAGCTCCCTAGTTCTTACGCGCATTGTTACTTAAGTTCAATTAACGCATTTGTAAGAAAGTCCTTGCCTCATTTATATTATTACAGGAAAAGTCAAGAGCAAGAGGTAAAGTAACAAGGTTTGAATGCTTGCGCAGTTTTTTTTCAGTTTTCTAAAATAATTTTATGATATAGAATCAGCTCAATACAGAAATCTATGAAAGACGAAGATGAGTCCAGGGAGCAAAACGACACGGTGAGATGATAGCATGACTGACTGGTTGATGGATCGCTTGATTGATGCATGAGCTGATTGACTGGTTGATTGATTGATTGATTCATTGATCGATTGATTGATTGACTGATTGATTGATTGATTGACTGGTTGATTGATTGATTGATCGATCGATTGATTGACTGGTTGATTGATCGATCGATTGATTGACTGATTGATTGATTGATTGATTGCTGCATGGATTCATTGATCGATCGATTGATTGACTGATTGATTCAGGATTGATTGCTGATTGATTGATTGATTGATTGATTGATTGATTGATTGATTGATTGATCGATCGATCGATCGCTTTGTGTGATTGATTGATTGATTGATTGATTGATCGATCGATCGATCGATCGATTGACTGACTGATTGATTGACTGATTGATTTCCTCTCCAGGATGAGTGTGATCCTACGTCATTCCCTGTAAGTCTAGATGTCATCGAGGGAGTTAGTCACTTTAGACAGTTTGAGCTTCCTTGTATTATTCATCATTCCTTAACACCTGCTATGATATCATTTGGACACACTACTGAAAGACAGCCATCTCTACAACATGTGGGAATGTCACGTGATATGACATCTTCTGCTGACGAGGGGGAAAATAAAATTCATTTATACGAAGATATAGAATCCATGCGATCCCGTGTTACACACCAGGCCGCCGTAGCGGAGAACATTCAGAAAAGGACGAGGAGACTGAAACCAAGTGATGACCCTTCTAAAGGTAAGGTCAGCAAGTCTTGGATAAGCATAGCCAATTCTGAAGTGTTTAACCCTGATGCTTATTTTCGTGTTTGTTTTTTTGTTACTGTGATACTGAAGACGTTGGGCGAAGAAGCTCTGAAAAAACCTCGACGTTGATTTCTTTATGTATAGATGCTTCTGATAGTGTGGCAACTTGTAGCGGTATGGCTAAGGGAAACTCCAATTCCCATTCCTTAACGGCAAAAGATATCTCAGACAATTCTGGGTACTGGGACAAAGCAAGAATGGCCAGGAAATGTTTACCACAGGCAACACCAAGTGAGATAGAGTCTAGGATATATTCCAAACTATGGGGAAAACAAATTAGCACTGAGTGTGAAAAGATCTCAAAAGATATCTCAGACAATTCTGGGTACTGGGACAAAGCAAAAATGGCCAGAATGTGTTCACCACAGGCAACACCAAGTGAGGACGAGTCTAGGATATATTCCAAACTATGGGGAAAACAAATTGTCGTTGAGTGTGAAATTCCTCCTGCTAATGTGAAGCTACTGATGAGGATTGGATCGGGTTCGTTTGGTCAAGTATGGAAAGGATCGATATGCGGGAAGGCTGTTGCTGTCAAAATGCTGAATGGTGAGAAGGCCCAAACTCATGATTTCGCTTTCTTAAAAGAAATATTAGCAGAAGCCGGCCATGTTTCTTTCATAAACATTTCTCATCGATACCATTCTTATGGTTCATGTTACAAACATGGCGTCGCCGTTCTTTAGTCACGTGAATCTCAGCGATTGTTTCAATTGGTTTATATTTGTTTTTGTCTTTCTAAATTGATTCCAAATGATTTCTTCCCAGCGGACGCGTCGCCATTAGATAAAAAAGACTTGCTTTCTGAACTTGAAGTGATGAAGTCATTAAAAACTCACCCGAATGTTGTCAAACTCAAGGGATGCATCACTACTTCAGCTGTAAAGTGTAATGGAGCGACATTCTGTAAGAAATAGAATTCTATTGTGTTGATTCAATTTAGTCTCCATGTTATACAACTATTTCAAAAATGTTGTCGGAGCGAAAATCACTCTGGGTATGTGTCAATGCCCACAGTGCATTTCGACCAAGTATCACACAACAAACCTTTTTGAGGATGATGTGTAGAATTTGTCCTTTTATAAAATTGTTGTATTATTTTAGACCCTCCGATGGTGTTCTTAGAGCTTGTCCCATACGGTGATCTGCTTGGTTACCTAAGAAAAGGGCGAGGTGAAGACGACACGTACTACAACAGTAGAGAAATCAAAAGCCCTAAAGTCATCGATGCAAAGCAGCTGTTCAGCTTCTCTCTTGATGTGGCAAGAGGAATGGACTTCCTCTCTGAGAACAAGGTATTAGTATTTCTCACGCTGCAGAGACAAACAATCAGTGGATTAAGGTAAAGGTTTCCCTTTCATTATAGATTGTCCATCGAGACCTTGCTGCAAGGAACGTTCTTGTTGGTGATAAACTTCGCTGTAAAATCACCGATTTTGGAATGGCAAGAGTACTGAATAACCAAGACATTTACACTAAAAGAACAAATGTAAGTAAAGACTTAGAGTGCTCATCGTGATGTGATGCAGTAATAGTGAAGTTCAATCCAACCGTCAATGATAAAGTTTTTTTTAATGTTCTTGTATTTTCAGGGCCTCTTGCCTGTGAAATGGATGTCACTAGAATCTCTTCTCTATCAGAAATACACAACGAAGAGTGACGTGTGAGTTTCTAATCTTTTTCTTGTTTTTTTCTTCCATTTTTCCTTTTCCTTGTTCCTCTTTCTTTTCTTTTCTTTTCTTTATTCAATTTTTTTGTCGTCAACACTTTTGTATGTGCTTCACTTGGTTTCCAGCTGGAGTTTTGGAGTTGTTCTCTATGAAATATTCACATTAGGTAAGGATTTATTTATTTATATGCCACTCATAGACGTTTGGCCTTTCATTTTAATCATCATACAATACCAAAAGTGCTACTAGTACTCAATCATAGAGGGTTCGGGCCATATAAAATTGGATGTTCCGTTGACTGACGTCGAAAACTAAAAACATGCACGAACGAAAGATTGAGGATTTTGCCATATTATCTTAGGTGGTCGACCATATGCTGATATGAGAGGAATTGAAGTCCTTGAGATGATCAAAAGTGGTAAACGGCTTTCAAAACCACCGCATATTTGTGACAAACTGTAAGTAGCCCTTGTGTTTAAAGAAAAGTGTGATGTCTAAAAGTGCTCTCTTTTACCTACAAACCAAGGAAGTCTATCGTTTATTGCTTTAATAACGTAAAATCCGTATGCAGATCGCGCACTTTTACAGACGAATTAAGGGCTGTTCTCCTGTAGGACAATAAAAGCGTATTGTGTTATAGAACAGTTTTCATCCAATCAAATTGTGCGCAGTATTGACGTTTAAAAGATAGAGTAATATGTTGTCATATGTTATCAATTGTTGTCAAGGTACACTCTAATGCTTCAATGTTGGTCTGCTAATCCTTCCCGTCGTCCTTCGTTTTCGTCACTGTCCAACATTATGGCGCAATTAGCCAAGGACACTCAGGTCAGTGGAGCGAAAGAGAATGAATGATTTAACTTGAAACATTTTCAGCTAAACTTGATGATTTGTTTTCCATTGTATGAGTCGACTAAGTAAATTTAAGTTTTGTTTTGTTTTGTTTTTTTACATTATTAACTGTATATTTTGCTTTGACAGAAATTCGTTAATCTAAAGGAGTACAATCAACATTTGTATGCCAATATCAGCACACTTGAACCACCGACCGTGGACGATTTATAGAAAGCTTCGATACGACCGACCGTGGAAATGTTTTTAGAAAGTCCGAATACGACCGACCGTGGAAATGTTTTTAGAAAGCCTCGATACGATCGACTGTGGACTGATTTATAGACTCGATACGACCTAAGGCCTCATTCAGGCTCCTTTGGCAACACACAGTATTATTTTGTAGCGATTTGAAGGTGTTACGTTTCCTTCAAAAAGCTCGTACCTGATAAACTCCATGTGGACAAATTGCGTTATCTGCAGCGTTATCTGTACATAACAAGCAAGGCACGTAATATCGCGCAGCCCAAGATGAACTATAAACCGAGACATTCTTGCTCACATCCATCATCACTTTTTCTTTACACAAAAAATTAATCAACAAACTTGACATTCTTCATCCACCTCATGATCCCGAAATGAAACGTCTTAAAAAACAATAAAATAACACGAGCTGAAATTACTGTAGAGATATTTATTATAGATTTGGAATGTACAAATGTTCAAGATTAATAAAAAGTCATGGATTCAAATGGTAATTATTTCATTACAAAATATATGTTTATGAAAATACTCTTTTTGTGGTCGGAGTCTAAAACATTTGGTTTACTTTTGTTACAATTAATACTCATTTTAGCTAGTTTTTTTTTAGGATTTCTGTACGACAGTTCTCGTAAATGCGTAGGTGTGATGGTATCAAAAAAGGACCTTCATGGAGATTTTCTTGCACACAGATTCACGAGACCACCGGGTATTCGTTCACAAGATTGAAAATCGTACTTATAACTCGATTTCAAAAGTTTACAAACGACCATCACTCAATAGAATTAATTATTGAAATACCTTGTAAAACTCCTATTTTCATCATTATCATTTTTGACAACTTTAAACACTTGACTATCTTATCCAACCCGACATTTTTGCTCCCAAATAATTCCCATTTATTCCGAATATGCTTTGCTTTGTTTGTTGCATAACCAGTCGCACAACGCCCTTGCGTGACTGTCACGCACCATAAAAATATGAATTAGTTTAGAATTTTTCTGAGAAGCAGCCAGGGAAGAGACCTGTCTTTCCATTGCGTTCTAAGGTTCCTTTGTACCAGCCATCTTGTCTTTTCTTGCTGACATATATAATATCACCGACCCGTAACTCTAGTTCTGCATCGCTCTGGGGTGGATATGGTATTATTGCACGAAACCTAATCGAAACAGAAAGTTGTTTGTAATGAAGAAATAACTTGATTCACAATCTTACTATAAATTCGTTATCTGGGGTTTCAACACCAACAATTCGAGAAGAGTCAAATTTCATATTAACATCGAAGGTAGCTCTTAGAGTACAAACACTAAAACTGTGCAACATAAATATCACTAAATACTGCTAATTCTATTGTTTAATTAACACTGTTTTGTAGTAAATAGTGGAAAGTGTTGCACACATTTCTAGGATGGCAACTTCCTTCTGTAGACCCTTCATCCATACATGCGAATTATATGCATATTATCCAGACAACTGTGAATGGAATCTAAAATGATTCCTGGAAATCACTAACCTTTCCCAAACAGGAACAGTTTCTTGTCTTTGATGACGTGGTCTCTGACCAGCAGAAGCCTGGAAAAACACATGAATACACATTACAGTCTTATAATAAAACGTTACTGACTACTTTGTTGATTATTTGACAATGATTGGTCAAGAAATAAATGCATGATTGTAAAGGTATTTGACAGTGTTTTTTATTGTCTTCCCATTTGCCAATTACTAGACCATAATGAGATATATTCACGTCATTCCATAATGCATTTTCTATTACCTGCCGTGAGGGTATAGCCTGACTTGAGTAGGGAGGGGGTGGGGCAGCTGGTATTGGTCTATTATTTGGTAAATTAACTTGGCTATGACCGCTTGGAACATCCCTGTCAAAAAAAGACACAAGTCACCAAGGAATAATAATGTAAATATAATATGGAAGCCTGCTTGCTTGAACCCGTGTCTATTTACAGCGAACGTTATTATCATGCACCATCTTACCATGTATAGGGAGGGGGAGGGGGAGGACGTGCTCTCTCTTTCTTCTTTGTTTTCAGTTTCTTCCAGAATCCACCCTAAAATCAAATCAATATCTGATTGTAAGAAAACACGCAAGGATCATGACGGCAACGCGGTCTCATTCTCCTATGGATTAACACAACTCTCTCAGTATAGGAACGGCGTAGTAGTTTGTAACAATATCGTTTGCAGGTAATCTAATCTCATCTTGGGCTGAATATTGTTCATTTAATTTTAAGTTCGTATTCTGTTCTCCGCAGTCCCTAAGATGTGGAAATAGTAAGGTATAAAACAAGCCTTACCGTTTTTGAGTCAGGTGGAGGAGGAAGCAATGGTCTTACTATACCATTATTCTGTACTCCATGTCTACTTTCGTGTGTTCCCTGGGTTAATAAGCCCTCAGCATTACGTCTATGATTGAAGTCTGGGGCTGACTCTGATCGATGATATCGAGGCCTCGCTATGGCAGTAGTAGTGGTAGAAGTAGAGTTGGTGAATGGCCGTGAATATTGTCGTGGACTGGGGATAGGAGCTTGACTGGTACTGGATGAGCGCGAACTTTTCAAAAGGTTATGAATACTGAAAATAATAATTTGTTAAAACTTTTGGAGTTTTCCGTGTAAAATTACAATTTATTTATTTATTTATTTATGAGCAATATTTTACCAGGCCACCCAATTCAGCGTAGGCTGGTTTAAATGGGGGCCTGCAAACAATTTACAAGACATATTCAATACATTACATCACATTACATAAAGTCATTACAATTACATATGGAGAAAAAAGGTGAAATAGTGCAAAACTATTGACAAAGATACTGCTTCAATTTTGTTTTGAAATTAGTAAGAAGGAAAACAAAAATAACGAAACTAAGCAGATTGTATCAAACAATATGAAGGAATTCTTCACAAAAACCTCCCTTTTATTTCATGTATGCCAAGAGGTATACTTGTTAGTCAACCAAGGGAAATATTTCACAGCCTTCCAATCATTACCTTGCCAATCGAACATAATTCCCAGGGAAAACCCCACGTTTTTGTGTTGACATGGAAAAGCCCTTAAACCAACCATCTTTACATTTTTCTGTCACGCAATAACTTTCTCCTGTTTTCAGTTCTAATTCGTCTTCTTTAATCGGTCGATAGTTGTACAATGCAGTATATCTGTTAAAAAAGATGATTACATATTAATAATTTATTCCTGCAAAAAGTGTTAAATATTCGTACTTGAATTGGTAAGTTACACCGTTTAAAAAAAATTAATTAAAAAAAATTAAATTTTTTTTATAGCTTGAAATGATATCAGGCATAATCTTGCAAGTAATGACAATAACCTTTTTCTAAATACACAAAACTTCAAAGCATATATTCAATAGGATTACTTACAATTCTTTTCCAATATCTGCAGAGTTTGGTCGATCATTAGAGTCACTAGTAGGAGACGATGCACTTTGTTCACTGCTGTTTGGTAAACGTACTGACACAGGTGATACATTACTTGTTGTTGGTCTTGGCTCAGAAAAGTTAATAAGATCCTCTCCCATTGGATGGTTTCCTGGCCTGTTATTGCCTACTCTTGGCCTTGTCTCTCTAGTGGCCCTACTTGTCGATGAATCACCATATGCTTCTTCTAGTCTTTCTGACGATGAAATCTCCACAGAATGACGACTAGGTACACGTGAAATGTTAGTCTCTTCGTGTTCTTCTAAGCCATGAATAGTATGTCTTTTTGGTTCACGTGAAGACGTTTTAGATTTAGGGACAGGTCTTGGCGGCAATGGAGACGCTTCCTCTCCAGAGCTGTTAGAAAATTCCAAGCTTTCTATGATAGCTTTAGCCACTGAATTAAACTGAAAACAGAACAGTTTGATTAACATATAAGAAGATTTTCAATAAACAAAAAATGAATAAAAAGGATTAATATTAAAATGAATGTGTAATTGCATAAATGAATATTTTTTCATGCTTACCACTACAAAATTCACAGGAAATATCCCACACTTGCTTTCAATTCTTCCTTCACACCAATTTTCATCAATGCGGCGAGTAACTGATATAATATCACCCTATATGGGGAAATGTAAAGATTCAAATACTGTATGGTGAGCCATTATAAAACACTATAGTCTGAATAAATTCAAAACACAGTAATAATTGCAATACAAAATATCCATTGCAAGCATATGTAATTTTCTACACTCATGTCCAGTTTTTACAATTCTGGTGCATTCCAAATGTCTACATAGTAATTGAACCATGAAATAAAGAGAGTATATAATATGATTTATTGTTCACTTTAGGTACACTAGTGATAAGCTTGACATTAATATAATTATTTTTGCACTGGCAACCTCTATTAATTAAACTGTAACTATTTACCTGTTTGAATGACAATACATCATCTTCTTGTACCTCATCAAAGTCATAGAGGGCTTTTGCTACTGGGTCATCATAACTATCATCTAAGCATGGCAATGGGTTGATAACCTACATGAAATATGTACTATAATAAAATCATTTTGTTTCTAAAAACCAACATTTTATTTAATGAATAGAAAGAGAGCATCTGTTAAATTAAATTTAACAATCTTTATCAATCTTGTGTTCTCATTTTAAGCATCAACTTTTGAGTGTCAAAATAAACTCCACATTTGCTGACCAGCTTTCAGTGTCATTATCATGAAACTTACATCAACATAGTTGGCAGGAAGAAATCCTTGAGAGCCTTTGATTTGACCTTCGTACCAATTCTCATCCACTTGACGAACAAGAATAACGATATCCCCTTTACTTAAAGGTAAGTCACTGCAAAAGAACAGACGTGCAAATTAATACAAAACATCATAAATACTTATTATCATCAGAATTACATACCCTTGCTCCTTGGGTTCATAATCAAATAATACTTTAGCACAAGGTTCCTTGGGAATCTTCTGTAAAAGCAAAACATTTGATATTCACATATTTTATTTTTGGAAATGAAATAATCAAATAACTTTAATGTGATAGAAACATGAACATGTTTTAATATTATATAGTTTGTTAGATGAACTATAAAAAATATATTGAATACACATCTGCTATAAATGTTCAGATTGGTGCTTTATTGTGTGTATTAGACAAATTCACTCTGTACAACTGCAAAAAAGCATGTAAATAAATATACAGACATGCCAAATCACATCTGGATGTACTCACTCGAGACCCACACTTTATCAGACAACAATAATTTATGTTTTCAGACATAACTGAGCTGAAATGTCAAATCGTGACATTACAAGAATATCTGATGCCAGCTAACAATCATTACAGGGTGACCTTGGTAATTCTTGGTAATATTTATTGACTTGATGTAAAATTTCAAACAAAATGTGTTTGGTAGATGATGAACTCGATTCTATATTAACTGCATGTATGAATGACAACCTCACACAGGGACTCATTATAGTAATGATGTCAACCATAACCAAATAGAATATTTATACCTAAGGACATTCAAGATTTCAATGTAGGCTAACATTGTAATCAATAGTGCTTGAATATGTGACAATCAGGTATAATTATAACATTTTTTAAATAAAGTTTTGTCTTCCGGAAAGTAATTTAATTAAATAACAGACAACCGTTCATTAAGAATCATGATTCAATTATAATATTAACATGAAAATGTAAAGTGCTGTATCAAACATTTTTTACCAACTTTTTTAAACCACAAATATTGATATAAACTGAATAACTGAAAAGTCTAAGAATGTAACATTTTTCTCTGGGGTTCAATAATTTTTTTAATGAATTATTCCGTCACTCAACTCGATACATAGGAAAGGTTTTATAACAATGAATACTTATAATTATCTATAATTTTTTCATTTTTTTTTTTCAGTCCTATCTGGCATATACAGGCCTTGGTTGGATTGATCAGATTGTGTCCTTAGTTACTTTACTCTCCAAACTGAGACCTGGACACTGTAAAGTTTTACTCAGAACACTAGTATGAGCTAATTAAAGTCACCTCAAGACAAAATCTATTATATTTTTGAAAATTGCCACAAAAATGGTCAGTGTGAACAGCCATAAGAGAACTCACACTTCTGCTTTACTAAGAGTGTTTGACAACTTGTGCCCCTTTACACTTCACATTAGCATTCAGTAGGGACTAAACAAGATTCAGGGGCTGCTGTTTTGACTAACAGTAGAGCACAGCTGCTGGGTGCATGTAAAGCAGTTCTTTACCATTTCTGAATAGTTTCCAATTTTTCACAAAGTTAATTCATTTGCAGGAATAACCACAGCACAGAAAACAAAGGAAATTTTAGTAATGTAAAGAGATCTGCTGTTTGCATTGATACAATAATCCCAATGAAAACCATTTCAATGTCATCGTACTAATCACCCATTTAAAATGAAAACATGACAAATTATTGTAAAAATATTCAATTAAGCAACTAATCTTTAGCAATCTTAAGGACTTTGGTTTTCATGGCAAAGACAGGAAAAAACAACAGATAAAAGAGGAGTGTTTACAAGGTTGTTCTGTTTACCAGATGATGTTCAAAGGAAGAGTACACAATAGCGTAAAGTGCTCTGGACGTCCCAAGTAACAAGGTGCATTGTAATCTTTTTTTTTTTCATTCACAAAATTGATTACTTGAGCTTCAAAATACAATTTTTTGTGCAATAATATTAAATTATAATTTCTTTAGAAAGTTTTAAACAGAAAGAGTATGCAACTTGTTATATGAGCTGCGATTTTCAACACAGGAAAGGAGAGGCAATCAGCCCTTCCGCTGCCGCTCGTATGAATAATTTTAGAATGGCATCTTAAGATTGATGTGGTTTTGAGGTTTACTACTTAATACGGCAAAAATGACTGTGGGAAAACTGATTTTGTTAACATACAGATGTTTTTTTGTAAATAAAGAGCTTGTCTGTTGCCGGTGAATTGTACGTAGCCGTATTACTGTAGACAATTTTGAACCTTTCAAACGCTCTAAAGTCAAAATGCTTTTCAGTATTGCTGCCTATCAAAAGTTTATATAGTTTGAATAATTCTATACCAAGTTTAAAATTGGTTTCAGAAAACATGCATAGTAACGTCAAAGTCGTGACGGCCAAGAGCGATTTGGCAGTTCGACAAGTTTTCTTAAACTCAAGGAATTTGTTCGACACACCAAAGTTGGGGACGTTTGTCGTATCTAAACTCTCTACAAACTCATTGTTATGACAGCACAATCTTTGTTAACCCTGTCTCCCACGGAGTAGAGGGAAAAGATTAAAACTGTCAAAAGATATTTGTTGTTTTGAGGGCAGACTCAAATACACACATGCCGTACTCTTTGCCCTCAGCAAACCTCAACTCTGAGATTGAAATGATACGTTTTACCTGCTTGGTTATCGATGTCCGCTCGGACGGGTTCGGATTTCTTCTGTTCAGTCCTTCTAAAATCCTTACAAGAATAATGTTCGCCGGCAAATTGTCTATGTCGTCTTCGACTAGAATTCTACACTCGGGACAACGCAATTCTTTACGCATAGATTGGATTTCTTCCAGGCATCTTTTGCAGAATGTATGTTGGCAAGGAAGAACTTTAGATGTATGGTCAAGTCTCTCTAAACATACTGAACACTCAAGAATCTCGCTAAGTTCTTTACAATCCATAATTGTAAGTACAAAAACCAAAACTTTGCCAGTCAATCAAGTTTACCGCTTCGTCTCATCTCCCTCTAACTCCTGAAAGCATCAAAGCACTAATAAGTCTTGAAGCTTTTTCCTCCAATTGGTTCAAAGATGATATGGATATCCTGAGCGGCGTCCTGCAGTACTTCCCGTGCTGTCTGATGCGGTAAAATAGTCATTCATGAAAGATTACTTGTGGAACTTTGTAATTCATTCTTCCTTCTAAACTAATTTGTTGACCTCACGATGCGCATGCGTAATGTGGACTAACAACCGTGCGACGCAATGCATGACGTAATTCACCTAGCCTTCCGTATATCGTCAATTTTGAAGACTGTTTAAAATATTCATGTTCTGAATACAAGATTAAGATTTTTCACAATATAACATTTAGATGAACTTTTGCATATTCGTTGTTGTGGTTTCCCTGTCGTTTTAATATAAATAGCCGACTTGCGAATTACGCATCAATAGTCACATGCAAAGGAATCAAGACGAGGCGCCGAGGCGCCTTTTTTGTGAAAAATCTATTGTCTTTAGCACGGCGCCTCGTATTGATTCCTTTGTATGTGACTATTGATGCGTAATTGATGCGTAATACGGTGAAGGAGTCAGGGACACCATGAACCAGGCTATGAGAACTGAATCTTATATAGATCTTTGCTACCCCGACGGAAACGACCCAGGTCAGCAGGCATTGATCGACTACACCCTCCACACTATCAAAAGAACTATCGCTATGTCCCTCAATATTGAGCGAACTTGATCTTATAGACGTTCTAAAGTGAAGAAAGTACATGGAGTCTTGGTATGAATTCAAGGGCACCATTAACGCAGCCAACACAAACAATTCGTGCTTATAATATTTATTAGACTATAAAATATACATGTTAAAGTAATAAAGATTTTAAAATGGTATTAACTACTGAGTAATTGATAAGCTTTGCTTTACTTCAATGACGTCATCGTATGACACTAATAACTTCGCCATCACTTGCCCCTTACTGCGTCGTCGCATACTTATTCGCCGTCGTATCATCCAATATACTCTCCACAGACAGCCCAGGCTCTCACAATTGTAAAACGAAAAGTTAAATACGACTTTTGTTTACTTCTCTATATTTTTTAACCAATACTTAGAATATCGATGAGCCTGGGTTGGTTTTCATTGTATACGTACAGGGTTGATAAGTACTGATGCACACTGCTTTTGACACTCCAGTCGACTTACAGATCGAGTATAATTGTTTATTGTAGCGCGTTTTAGTTTTTATTTTGAAGTGTGCTTCTTCATTGTTTTAATGCACTCTGAGTTCTATTTATTACGATGTCTCTGGACACCGTTCCTTTGGTTATCACTTAATGAAACCATACAAATACACCTGAAACCTGTCCTAAATAGTAGACTAGATTACACGATAATTAGATTGTTTTTATACTGCGATAATGTCTAGCTGGCCACTAGTTTGGAGATTCTAAGTATTAAGGTTACGATGATAATAAGCTCACTCCCCGTGAAACAGTTTTTGGAGTACAACACATTTGGTGGACAGACAAAAACCGTTTTACGACATCATCTGTTGTGACCATCGTAACCATCTTAGTGCTAAACGTTGTTCACCCACCACTGCCCAACATTTATTACTATCAATCAGAGGTAAGATCAGGATTCATGTTCAAGTAATCGAGTAAATTGTCAGTTTCAGGCCATGGTGTTGGATCCAGCAAAGTATCCATCGAAGACTGGGCTAAAAGCATGTTAAGAACCACTTCGTCTGCGTCATTCAGTTCAAAGTTTGTCCCAGAATCCCATGCGGACGCAGATGGATGAGCAGTGCCACTCGATGGCTGAGTACCTTGTTAAAGAATTTTTCCAAAAATGAAATTAGAATTTTTAAAATTTTTGATATATAACGCGCGCTCTGATTGGCTGACGACCGTGTTTATATCAGAGGACAGAGACACGGCTTACCGGCAAAATTTTCTTGTCGCTCGAAAAAATTTTTTTCTTATTATAAAATTTTTGATATATAACGCGCGCTCTGATTGGCTGACGACCGTGTTTATATCAGAGGACAGAGACACGGCTTACCGGCAAAATTTTCTTTTCGCTCGAAAAATTTTATAAAAAGAAATATAATACGGCCGCTTGTGTCTCTGTCCTCTGATATAAACACGGTGGGAGTTCGAAAAACACGAGAGAAGCAAGAGAAACACTCGCTACGCTCGTGTTCCTAAGCTTGCTTCTCTCGTGTTTTTCGAACTCCCACCGTGTTTATATCAGAGGACAGAGACACGCGCGCCGTTTTATATTTCTTAAATATAAATGCTTTTGACTTTAATTTACAAAACTACTTAGTACCATGATATGGCGGGATAATATTACCAAGGCCGACATACATTGGAGGAAAAGGGGACTATACCTTTGAAGACTTTGAATGAAGTAATTTTGCTCAGACTGTATCTTAGTTTGAGTCCAATGAGCAACAATGCATTTCGGTAATGGAATACACTATTTACTAGTATTATAGGTTTTTTAATAACTGTATACCTGCTGTAGACATTCCTGGTTGAGCAGTAGAAAGAAACGGCGAGTTTTGATTGAAAGGATTAAACATTGTTTGTTGGTTGGCATCTTGTTGTTCAGGTTTGGGTTGTTGGAACGACATTAACAGTTGCTCTTGTTGTCGAATGAGAAGTTGTTTTCTTTGATCCTAAAGAATAATAAAGTGATAAAAGAAATCAGTTTTAAACATGTGACTTCTACAAATTCTTCACACCTACCAGGGGTACCCTACTACCCAGAGCACCATACCTCCTACCATGGGTACCAACACTATCCAGGCAATTTTTACCAAATCTGACAATTAATTGGATGCCGAACTCTTACCTCATGCATCTGCATAAGTTGTTGTTGATGAACGAGTAATGGAGTACTGAAAGCTTCTTCTTCATGAAGTTTTGCTTCATCTACACTGCATGATGAGGTCGATGGCGCCGCACTCGTCGATGGACGAGCGTGTTTTTGTTGGGGTGTTGCTAAAAACATGGCTTCCAATTCTTTCGATGTAAAGTTTGAAAAATAATCCTTTTGCCTCGCTGTTTCTTTTTGTTTTTCATTATTTGAGTTTTGAAACTGATTAGGTGTGCTTACAAGTCGTTGGTTCTCATTTAAAGCAGAAATATCATTGATCCCACTTTGTTCGTTGTTTCGGCCTTGTGCTTCGGTTGACGTCCACGTCACAGTACTGCTCTCAGATGTTTGACGTATTTGGCGTCTTGAGGAGAAAGTCATTTTTTGGTTTGCCACCCGTACGTTGCTCATTCGTTGTTGCTGCTGCTGAAATTGTTGATGTTGCTGCTGCTGTTGCTGTTGTCGTTGCTGCTGTTGTTGTTGTTGCTGCTGCTGTTGTTGCTGCTGTTGTATATGTTGATGGCGTTGCGCCTGCTGTTGTATTTCTTGCAGGTTTCCTACATTAGTTTGATACATCATTTGATTACTAGTAGTTCTATTTACAGTGTTGAGTGCAGCACTGAACTGATCTGTCGTCTGCTGAAGATTTTGATTGAATAACAAAGATTCCGCCGCGCTAGACTCAGACGATTGTGCTTGTTTCAGAAGGTTTAACAAAGTTTGCGCGACATCTGGTTGAGAACTTAAACCGGACAATAGTTTCTGCATTGCCTGGGGGTTCTGAGACGATGCTGTCAGTAGGTTTTGAATATTACTTAGTGTTCCAGGTGACTGTTGTACGTTTGGTTGTGTTGTGAATGAACTTGAGACTTGGAACTCGATTTGTGGCGTATTCGATAAATGAGTAAGGTGTTCTTGTTGGGGATTCAAAGTTTGCGCAACGAATCGTTGACTATCCCCAACAGATCTACCTTGACCAATCGTTGAAAACGCTCGTTCTTGGTTTTGCTCATTGACTGGGAGACTTTGAATCTGTCCTGCAACAGTAACTTTGGGTTGAGGCAAAGGAGGGGAACGAAGCCTTTGTATGTTTGTTCTTATAGTGGTTCGCTGATCGGAAGGTGACGATAATGTATTTACTTCAGATGTGGTTAAGGAATGACTGCTTCTATTCTTAGTTCGTTTTTCTCGATAACGTTTCAGTTGCTGTCTATTATGCCTTTCAACCTTTCTTCGTGTTTCTTTCAAAGACTTTACGAGTTCTCTCTGTCTCGTTTCGTGTTTTTCTTGCATTTCGCTAACCTCTTTCGCCTTGCGGAATTGTTCTTCAAACACTTGATGATTTTTAGATGGATCGATTGTTAGTTGTGCCTGTAGGTTTAGTAACATCTGTTGTTGTACAGCTTGAAGCTGCTGCTTTTGTTTGACAATAGCGTCTTTTAGTACCGTGTGTTTTGTCATTAATTGATCATGCAACTGACGTTGTGCTTCGATAAAACTTTCCAGCTCTTCAAATGACATCGATAAATCCTGAAAAGAAAGTTTTTTAACATTGTAGGTGGAGCCCCATGATTTCTAAGAGAACTAACATTGTAGGTGGAGCCCAATGATTTCTAAGAATTAACATTGTAGGGAAAGTCCCATGATTTCTAAGAGAACTAACATTGTAGGTGAAGCCCCATTATTTCTAAGAATTAACATTGTAGGTGGAGCCCCATGATTTCTAAGAATTAACATTGTAGGTGGAGCCCCATGATTTCTAAGAATTAACATTGTAGGTGGAGCCCCATGATTTCTAAGAATTAACATTGTAGGTGGAGCCCCATGATTTCTAAGAATTAACATTGTAGGTGGAGCCCCATGATTTCTAAGAATTAACATTGTAGGTGGAGCCCCATGATTTCTAAGAATTAACATTGTAGGTGGAGCCCCATGATTTCTAAGAATTAACATTGTAGGTGGAGCCCATTATTTCTAAGAATTAACATTGTAGGTGGAGCCCCATGATTTCTAAGAGAACTAACATTGTAGGTGGAGCCCCATGATTTCTAAGCGAACTAACATTGTAGGTGGAGCCCCATGATTTCTAAGAGAACTAACATTTTAGGTGTAGCGCAATGATTTCTAAGAATTAACGTTTTAGGTGGAGCCCCATGATTTCTAAGAATTAACGTTTTAGGTGTAGCGCAATGATTGCGCCAAATCGTTGATGATAAGATAAATAGGGTCATACATCGTGAATTAAGAAACTTACCACCGAGTCGACACTGTCCGAGTCTTCCTCCTGACGACCACCAAGCTCATCGCAAGAGTCACTTTTTTGCTGGGAAGATGTGTCCGACAAGTTGCTGCCAAAGAAGTCAATGCTGCTGTTGAAAGGAACCAGCTCTTTCTCATCTGAGGCAAAAATAGAAAATAATTGCTCTGTCATACAGGTATAAGTGGGATAGCAATCAAAGTAGAAATCAACAGTGATAGAAAAAAATGCTTTGCATTCTATTTTGTTGTGAGTNATACCACCCTAGGCATTACCATACCACCCTTGATACTACCATAACACTCTTGGTATTACCATAACACCCTAGGTATTACAATACCACCCTAGGCATTACCATACCACCCTTGATACTACCATAACACTCTTGGTATTACCATACCACCCTTGGTATGATTTTGGGACCTAAAAGAGCTTCAAGAGCAAACCAACCCATCAACCGTACCCAGTTTAAGACTGCGCTACGCAACCACAAGTGTAAAGAAAGCAGTCAGCTTTTTTCGAAAAGTATGTATTTCTGTGGATTATCAAAACACAGGAAGCCAGAGTAAAGCTAGCGGGTTACAATAAAGGATAAAGAAGGAATGTGTATGAATAGCAACGGTCGTATATACTACTTATTAACCGAGAGTGAGGTCATTACAGGGAAATCTCAGACCGAGGTCTTGGAAGTATGGACCGAGCGATAGCGAGGTCCATACAAACAAGACCGAGGTCTGAGATTTCCCTGTAATGACCGAACGGACGAGGTTAATAAGTTATTTATTATATGGCTCTCTTAATAAAAAAAATATAAAATATATAACGTGAGCAAAATAAAAGAACGGAAGTGATTTAACACTTCCTCTTGCGCGCGCATTTGTTCATTCAATGTCATGTCCAGTGCCGAAAAAATACAACAATTTGTTTGAAAATGTGTTTAATATAGCACAATTTATGTCACAAAACCGTTTTTATTCCACAAAACACGGTAATTTAGCTTAAAAAGTTTCAGAACATCCAAAAGTTTGTAAAAATAGTTGGAAAATACGTCAAAATTAAGACGATTGAAAACGTCAACACGTGCAGACCTTGCAGTGATTTTAGCGAATGTTCAACTTTCCTCGTCACTCTCGATTTTTCCGTTGTTGGATCTTGACTGTACCTTTGAAAATTTTGAACGGACAGTCGGATATTTTGCTGAGGTTAGCTCCACCGAAAATGCTACTTAAAGCACTTGGATTTGATGTATGAACGGCGAGGGAAGTGGTTGACTCAACTGGTTACTCATGAGGACGGCAACCATAGTCTAATGACAGCTTAGAAATTCTCGATAAGTATTCACCATAATTTAAAGATAGCTCAAAAAGGATTGTATTGGAAGAAAAAAAACGATGTGTCAGGATGTAAAAGCTCAAAAGAAGCCAGAACATACCTCTACAGACTACTCAAAACAAAAGTGAAAAGCCGAAGGGATTCAAACCGGTGTTTTGACAAGAAAAGCTGAGAATGAAATCCTCCTCTTAAAAATTCAATGAGCTCGTTGACTAGAAAAAAAGAGCAAAAACCTGGAAGTCCAGTTGAAGGAATTTTGAGTCAGTGTGAACTCGTTCAAATGCCAAGCTTTCTCAATGAAAACAGCTGAAAACAGGCAAACTTTCAAGCAATTCGTGGGACATCCTCGGTTGCTGGATCAAGAAAATTGTAATTCAATATTGAGGGACATCCACATCGAAGAATTAATAAACAAACATACACCGGCCTTGTCGATAGAAGAATCATTGAAAAGTTTGTGAGTAGACTGTAATAATGTATTTGTGCATGAAANCTGAATCTATGAAATAAGGAGCCATTATTCCCTCATTTTTGCAGACAATTACTAAAAATATAATGATTTTGGTCATTTTCGTCGGTTTGGTACTAAAAATATAATGGTTTTCGTCTGTTTGGTAGCCATTTTGTCGGCTTTCGCACTAATCTCGTCAAAAACTTACATGTTAAATAAATTCACTTTGACTGTAGTTTTCGTTGTCTCTCATTTTGCAAATAAAAAATTTTCAAACATTTATTTTTTTCGTAAACGAACTAAAAGGATATCTTTGTTTTGCAATGCGTTTCAAATTGTGTTTTTTCTTCGTCTTACTCAAAGTCAAAGCTGGTCTAATCGCGAAAAATATTGACCGCTGTGAGCGGGCATTACAGGAAAATACCGACCGGTCATTATCTGTCAACAGCCAATCAGAGCGCGCGTACTATCTAAGCCATATAATAACTTATAATAATCTCATTTGTTGTTGCGAGTGAAACACTAAGATGGCACGTCTTGTATTCTTTGCGAAATTTCAAAACGTTGTGTTGACTTAGTTCCTACTGAAAGACCTGTCAGTGTCACAAAACGTTCTGAAACACACCAACATCACTCAATTTGAACTAGTGTCGATCCCATAGTGCATCATGTTGACATAATTAGGGAATAACAGACTGAATGCAGAATCAAAAAACTTAATTTGAGCGGGCTTCCTGTGTTGTTTATATTGAGTGTAGCCAACCTTGATATGTTCGATCCGTTGGTAGAATCTCCTGTAGGCTCTGAGTTGATAGAAGTGGTAAAGCAGTGTTGTCTTGATAAATGTTGTCCAGACCACTACTACTAGTGCGTTCAGTGTACATACAACGTTTATCTTGTATCTTCATTTCTTGACGATCGCTGGTAATGATAACACAACACTACTTTAGCAGTGGTAGGAAGAAAAACTCATTAATGTTTTGTTTAGGGGAAAGAGGAGAGACCACCATTTTTTTTCTTTATTTCTTTCTTTTTGCAGTAATGTTTGAGATGTGGTAGGGAAAATCAATTAATGAAAATTACTAGAATAGTCGCCATCGCCGCCGCATAAACGCCCCCATAATTTTTGAACTCCGGATAATTTCAATATCTTATAATGAGCCTTTGCTCCACTTAAATCATCGCATAATATAGGATCGAGACAACTATACTATACAACAAGACTCATTTACATTGTTAAATTTGCCTGAAAATAAAAGGGTCGATATCGCTGATGAGATTTAGAGATACTTGAATGACGTCGATTACCATCTTAACATGTGGTCGATGTCCAATCACAGAAAAAAAATCAAGGGTAGAGTACCATAATCTTTCGGTACCATAGCCATCGATGACGGATCAACTGAACTAGTTATCAACCGGTGTAAATACTCTGTGTTCTTTGGCTCCGAATCCGACCAAGATTTTTCACTGAGTGTAGACTGACGAATTTTTAAGCTATCACCAGTACTTACCGCGGCGAAATGGTACTCGAATAAATGATAAGAAATGTCCTTAAGTGATAACCAAATGATCTACATAACGTCTGTTTTGGGTAGCCATATATATCGTGTGTAAATTACTTAACGTTGATTACCCAGAAATACCCAGTCATTGGACAATGGGAACGCATAATAACACTTGAACACTTGAAGTTCTTATTGAACCTTCTCATAAACGAGTTTTCATGCATTCAAGCATGTTTTTAATTTATCCAATACAACTGCCTATTTCTATCAGATCGTCAGTTTGGGATGAAATATCACACTTCATCACTAGGTCGTAGGTAGAAAAACTCACATCATGATTTCACTTACCGAACAAAAAACACAACCAATGACACAACAAACAACACAATTGAGAGTAGGAGTTGATACTATTTTTGTCATAAACTGATCATAATTATACTACGAAATAAAACCGATAAGTTGGGATAACGTTCTCGTCTTACCAAACAGCCATGTTAGTACTACAAATGAACTCTGGCTTTGAATTCCAATGGTTGTATGATATAAAGCTACGACTTTTCATCCAGATCCACTGATGTCCTTTTGATCTCATTCTGTATGGTTCTGTTTTGCATTCGCCGTATTCCAACACTAAGACAAAATATGGAAATCAAGAAACAATTAAGCACTAGAAGCGGAAGTTCTGTGGATGATTCTCTGAGAAGAGATCACGTCTAATTGTGAGGGGGTTTCTAATGCTATAATTCATTCTTATAGTTTTTCTATATTTTTATAAAGCTTACAATCGTTGTTTGACATACTAGTAGTCATAGGAACTGTCTTTACATTATGTCACCGATATGTGTCTTGTGCCATCAGCTGCCAGTAGAAAAATTGCCTGCTTTAAAAAAGATTTTGTGATTGTTGTAATACGATTGTGCCAAAAATGCATTTAGCTTCATTAAAACGTAGATTGTCATGACGTCCTGGATGCCGCTCTACAAGTATAATTTCAAAAAGTTACTTTGGAACACATGATACAGGCAAACCACCTGCGAACAATGCAAAACTGCCATCCAGTCTGACTGTCGTCACGGACATTTTTCAGTCCGATGAGTTTGGTGTATATCGCATTCATTCTTTTGTGAATAGTACATGCCAGTAAATTCGTATTTGTTGGGACGTTGAATACGACTGAACTCGATGTTTCTTAAAGCCGAAAAAATCCTACGTGTGCTTACGTCTGACAGCCATTATCCTGCGTGTGGCTATGGAGAGAACCACCCCACACAAACATGTAAACCTGGCTTATAGCCTACTGAAGTGCGGCCATTATCCTGCGTGTGGCTATGGAGAGAGAGGCCATCGAATACACTACCACCCCACACAAACATGTAAACCTGGCTTA